TCCTGTTGGTCACACTGGGATGCAACTGGGGCTGAGTTTGGGAAGCAAATCTGTAGGAAACCCTTTGAAACACTTGGAAGGTGATTTATCCAAGTGGCACCAGCACCTCTGCCTTGGCAGGGGGTGCTGAGCCCCTTTTTGGGACTGTGCCCTGTGTCAGATGCTCTGGGCCCCTCAGAACTGGGTGCTCTGTGCCCACAGGGGCTGTGCTGCTCTGCCTGGTTGGCAGGAAAGGGGAAGAGATTCCTCCTTCCCTTCACCTCCATCTGAGGTTCAGCTGCTTTTATTCAAATCAAACCCAACCCCCTCTCCAGCAGATTGCAGTGGAGCTCTGCTGAGTCCTGTTTCCAGGGAATCCGGGTGTATCCATAGGTTTCTCATCTGTAGGTTCTCTTCTTTGGGAATACACACCAGGGGATGACTCTTCATATTTCTGGCAATGAAAAAAGGGCCTGAAAAGCTGGCTCTTGTCACTGCTTGCTTGATTTGTTATGGAAAAGCAGGAATTTGCCTTGGATTTACTACAGGGCTCTCTGCTAAATCACCACAACTGGAGAAGTTTGCTCTCTGTGCAAAGTTAACTTTTGTTCTCTTTGCTCCAACCCTAAATAATAGATATGAAAGGTTTATTAAGCAAATAAATACCAATCCCTGGGCTGGGAATTCCCATTTCCCACACAAGGAGTATCTGAAGCCCATCACTTGCCAAAGGGAACGAGTCAGGGATTGCAGCTCAGGGAAAAACACAGGATTGTTTTGTTTACAGGCTTTGACATCAGGGTGTGGGGAGGGAAAATTATGATCATCTCTGGGAGGGGAAAAATGATTAGTGAACTATATTTCTGCTCTGCCAGAATGGGATTTTAGGTGCCTTTTTTTAGGCCTTGCAGTGACAGGGAGGTAGAAATGCAAATGCTTTAAATGCAGAAAGACTCCTTCCATATCTGGAGAGTGTCTTGGGTGGGATGTCTCATTTGGAATTAAATCAGTTTGCTGCATTTTAAATGTTATGATGTGCTCCCTAATGTAGGGTTAGTTCTTCTGGGGGAATTGGCCTGGCATGAGATTACAGGGCACATGTCCATGTTTGAATCCTTCTGAGCATTTTGAGTGGCTCCCAAATCTCAGAATCATGGAATGGTTGGGGTTGGAAGGGACCTTAAAGCTCATCCAGTCCCACCCCCTGCCATGGGCAGGGACACCCTCCACTAGCCCAGGGTGCTCAGTCTAAGGCAGAGCCTTTCCTTGGGCCTGGTTCTGACTCAAATGATGACTTGTGGCAGGAGAAACTCTATTTAACACTTAATAGATAAAATCTTCATCTTCCATCTCCTTCCTTCCTTGTGCATGAGGCTTTCCCAGCAATATTAATATTGTACTGTTGAAGAGATAAATGAAGATCAAGGCTCAAGAAATGAGCTTGTAAACCCACCAAATGACAGGTAATTATTAGATGTAGCCTTTGAGGGGAGCTTGGATGTGTTATAAAACCCAAGGAATTCCCTCCTGGAAGCTCAGCAAACTGAGTGTGAGGAAGCAGAAGATGGACACAACTTTCTCCTTCAGGAAGGACCATGTTGTGGTTGTTGGAAAAGATCTTTCTACACAACATCTGTGAGCCCAGATTTATCCAAAATGAGTAAGGAAGGCAATAATCTCTGTCCCTAAATATTTTACTCTCCTGCTTCCTTCTCCAGTGCTTATCAGGAACTGTTTTGTCCTTTAACCTCTGAGTCTGTGTGTGGGTTTTTATTACTACTTCTGATTTTTTTTTCGGAGACACCTTTTATTTTCTCAGGTACAAAATAAACCTGTTTACATCCAGGAGCAGCCAAATTCCTTTCCCTGCTTGGGAAGAACAGTCTGGCAAGTCAGGAGCACTGGTTTCCTTAGTGATGCTGACAGTTGGTGGGGAGACTCAAAAACTGGAAGCATTTCTATGAACTTCTTGATGCCTTTGGCACAAAAGAGCCTTGGCTGTGAAATACCCTCAGTTTTGTGCAGACAAAATGTCCTCTGCTTGGTTTTGTTTGTTGTTTATCCATAACTCCCGTAATAAAAGCCATAAAGAGCTGACAGATTACAAGTTGCATGAAATATCCAAGTCATTATTTACACTTTGATGCTTCTTTGTGCAGACATGAGACAATAAATACCCAGAAAGTCTCAGAAGTGACACTCAGCGGGGGATTCACCACTTTTTACGTGCCAGGGTTTGCTTCTCCTGCTTGGAACCGTATCCTGATACCTGATATTCCTTGCCTTTGGTTTTTAGTGAGCTCCAAGGGCTCAGCTGGAAGGCAGACTTCCATGGGATGCTGCTGGAATTGGCTGTGGGGCAGGGAACAGCCTTTCCTCACGGGGTCTTTGCTGGTGGCTGAATTTTGGTGGTGCCTGTGGGTGCTGCCTCGGGGGCTTGTGGAGAGCACAAATTCTGCTCTGTGAACTCCTGGGCTGGCACTGGAGTGGTGTGGGTTCCTCTCCCAAAGATGTGTCACTCCTTGTGGAGATAAGGGGTGGTTGTGCAGCCATGGAACGCTGGGGCTTAAATCCTGGAGTCCCTCTCACTGTTGGATGGGATTTAACACCCTGTTTGTTAAAACATCTTTGAGAATGTCATTGCTGTGTTAGTAGAAAAAAATCCAGTGTGTTGTGGGGTTTTTATTTCAGATTTACTGTCCTAAATTACCAAAGGGCCAGAGTCTGAAGGGAAAAGGGATAAAATGCAAGATTACACCAAAGCAGGAATTGCTGTGTGGGCACTTGCCACTGGTTTAACTGAACTGTGCCACAGTGTTTCAAGTGTGATGCTGGAATGTAAATGGTTGTAATTCACTGTCTTTGAACAGAGAGAACATGAGCTGCAGGAAGGAGATGTTGGGAGGAGAGAGAACCCTGGGAGGAAGGAGGAGGAGGAGGAGGAGAAGAGGGAGATGATAACGCCGGCCCTGAGGGACGCGCTCACGAAACAAGGTGAGGCTGCACAGCCCTGGGGGGGACAGGACTGGGGGGGTTGGGGGTGGACTTTGACCAGAGCAGTGGAAGGGGGTGTTCTTTGTGTGACAGAGGCTGCTCTGGACCCTCAGTCATGGCAGGACAAAGACCACAGAACACAGGATAGTTGGGGTTGGAAGGGACCTCTGGAGATCATCCAGTCCAACCCCTGCCCAGGCAGGGTCACCTGGAGCAGGTGACACAGGAACACAGGTTTGGAATGTCTCCAGAGGGGGAGACTCCACAGCCTCCCTGGGCAGCTGTTCCAGTGCTCTGCCACCTCATGTGGAAGTTCTTCCTCATGTTGAGGTGAAACTTGTGGTTTAGTTTATGGACATCATTCCTTGTCCTGTCACTGGGCACCACTGAGGAGAGTTTGGCACCATCCTCCTGGCTCCTGCCATGGAGATATTTGTATGGATTGATGAGGTCCCTGCTCAGCCTTCTCTTCTCTAGACAAGGCCCAGCTCCCTCAGTCTCTGCTCATCAGAGAGAGGCTCCAGACCCCACATCACCTCTGTGGCCTCCTGGCCCTGCTCCAGGAGCTCCCTGGCCCTGCTGTGCTGAGGAGCCAGAGCTGGGCCCAGCCCTGCAGATGTGCCTGCCCAGGGCTGGGCAGAGGGGCAGGATCCCTCCCTGACCTGCTCCAATGCTCTTCCTGATGCTCCCCAGGATCCCATTGTCCCTCCTGGCCCAGGACACACTGCTGGCTCATGGCCAACTTGGAGTTCCCAGGGTTCAAAGTATCAGCCTGGGAGCGATGCTGATGGTCCCACGTGCCTCCAGCTCCCAGAGTGGAGGTTCCTCAGAGAATATTTCAAGATCAGCTTTGCACCTCTCTTTTCCCTTTAGTCCCCTGCTTTTATTTCAGTTTCAAACTCTGATTTTGTTACTGAAACGTATTTCCAGACTAGGAACGAGTTCAAACTAATTTTAAACTAACCATCCACCAGATGATTAGGTCAGTGAGCTCTGGAGAACAGCTGGAATGAATTTCAGGACTTTTTTAAAGCAAAGGACAAGCATGAGAGGAGCCAGACTGAGCCCTGGAAAGGTGATGGAGCTTCCCCTTGCTGCTCAGGTGGAGACTGAAGGCAGTTTAGTCTAATTTCTTTTACCTCTTAGGAGAGAGTGTGCTCAGTTCTGTTGCTAAATCAATGTCATGGAATCATTAAGGTTGGAAAAGGTCTTTCAGATCATCAAGTCCAACCACCCACCCTGTGCCACCACCACGTTCACCACCAACCCACATCCTCAAGTGCCACATCCACATGGTTTTGAACACTTCTAGGGCTGGTGACTCCACCACTGCCCTGGGCATCTCTCCTGGTGCTTCTGAGCAGGCCCTTGTGGTCCCTGAGAGCCGAGCTCTGAAGTTCTCCCCATGTGATTGTTGCTTTGGGACACAGGACCCCGGGTGGGCTCTGCTACCTGTGCTACTGACCCCTGAGAGGGAGAGGGGGTGGTTTTTGGCACCCTGCCCTGCCTTTTTTGGGGTGCAGGGCTCTGTGCTGGCCCTGGGTGGTGTTTGTAGGGCTGTAGGAGTGTTTGTCTCACCCAGTCACTGTTGGTTTGCCTTTGGGGTGTGAATGAAACTTTGCTTTTTTAAGAAGTGGCCATTTGGCAAATGGAAGGTCACCTTCCTCCCATCATTTTTTTGACACAAGGGAAGGCTCCCTGGGGAGTTTTGGTTTCCTTGTGGTGCTCCAGGGACATAATTCATTATCCTGATTAGTGGGTCCATATTTCTCCCTTCCTTTGGCATTCTGGATAATGCCAGTATTGGATCAACCAGTAGGAGCTGCTGTTTCAAATCTGTGTTTTCAAAGGCTTAAAACTATTGTGTCTGTCTCCCTGTAGTTCCAGCTGCCCCTCCCAGCCCCCCCCTCCTCTGCTGCTCACCCAATTCTGTAATGATCACTCAGCAGTGAAGAAGAAAAGTTGTTTCTTTTTCGGGTCATGTAACGTTTTTCCTGCCAATAACAAACCAAGAGAGGTTTTTGTGGCTATAAAAATAAACCAACTCCCTCCTTCCCTCAGCATCATTCCCTCCACAGATAACAAGTGCAGTGGAGTCAAAAGAGAATTTGATTTATTGAGCAGCAAGTGGTTGCTTTGGGGGTGGAATCACGGAGTGGTTTGGGTTGGAAGGGACATTAAAGGTCATCCAGTTCCACCCCCTGCCATGGGCAGGGACACCTTCCACTAGCCCAGGTTGCTCCAACCTGGCCTTGGACACTTCCAGGGATGGGGCAGCTTCTCTGGGCAGCCTGTGCCAGGGCCTCCCCACCCTCCTTCCCAGTATCCCATCTAACCCTGCCCTCTGAGTTTGAAGCCATTCCCACTTGTCCTGGCACTACAAGCTCTTGTAAAAAGTCCTTTTCAAGATTATCCCTGAGGGCACAATTAGCCCGAAGAGAAGGAGAACAAGTATTAGTGGTTCAGAGAAAGCTGTTCTTTGACACTGCACTTGCATAACAGAGTTTGCCTTTGAGCAGCATCTCTTCAGGCTGTTGTAACCTCTTGATTCACCTTCAAACAAATTTCCCTTGCTGTAGATAAAGTGAATATTGCTTAAGCAATGGTTTTATTTTAGCCCTGGCATTGAGTCTGGGCTAAATTTAGCAGGGTTGTGTTGTGTTGTCGAGGTGTGTAAGCTCTTGTAGTTGCCTGCTTGCAGATACCTTGATAAAAGGTGCTCAGGAATAGTTGCTTTTTAAAGTCACAGCCTGTGCTGTGAGCCAGCCCTGATTCCATCCCATCACTGCTCAGCCTTGCATAAAACACAGACACAGCCCAGGCTCTCTGGTGCCTCCAGGGAAAGTGGAGTGGGAGAGACACTGGCAGTGTTTGTGTGTGAGATTTGCAGTGGTGCTCCTGATGCTTTAGTCATTCCATGTGTTTAGGTAGAGGGAAAGAAATGAAATGAACTGAAAATAGAAGCAAACTCTTCATGGGAATGTTTCCTGTGGTTATTAGGAATTACAGCCCAATATTAACATTTGCTTTCTGTGGTTGCTTGTAGATTCTTGAAACGATCCCTGCTGGGGTGGAAGTTTTTGTTTGGCCTGGGTGCCAGGAGGATTTTGGACATGGTGAAGTGCATGGGAGCCTTCCTGGAGCTGCTGATTTTTCAGGAAGTGCATCTCTATCCTTGTTTAGCTTTAGAGGGAGTCTCAAGCTGCTGTTTTAATAGGAAAGATGACTGTAAAAAACAAACAGCATGGCTTTTTTTTTCTGTAAAACAAACAAAAAACCCAAACCAAAACACTCTTCTGTGTGTCAGGGCAGGCTCAGGTTGGATCTCAGCCAAAGGTTCTTCCCCCAGAGGCTGGTTGGGCACTGCCCAGGCTCCCCAGGGCAGTGGGCACAGCCCCAAGGCTGCCAGAGCTCAG